CGCTTTCTTCTCATCAGCCATAGTGACGGTAACTTTCAGACACAGAATAAAGAAAAGCGGGCTCGGAGCTCGCTTTTTATAGCCTGATGGCGTCAGCAATGCTAATGAAGGATGGGGGAAAGCCTTGTTCTTGATTGGGTAGTTTACAACAATGTCAATACATGATATTTAGTCTCTCTCCGAATGGTGAGTGTGGGACACAACGAGGATCTGTCAGGATCTGCAACGAAATGTGAAACACAAACCAAAATTTTATACATGGATCAAACTCCGAGCTCAGTTTAAATTGAACTGATTATTGTCATTTAATGATATTTTGAACACAGTACCTGTGAGATTTTAATTGTGACAATGTGTTTTATTCTGCTCATGACAATCTTTTATTTGTAAAATATTATTTTGTTTCATCACTATCTGAGATTTCCTTATTACGCTGTCAGCAACATTGTACTGTTAAGACATTCAGGTTTACTGAGGGACACTTTGCCGAATATCTGTCAATCTCTGCAATGTGAAAATGGGAGTGAAGTTATCGGTCTGTCTGTTTATGCAGTGTGAAAGATTATTATTCTCTCACAATCTGTTCCTGTGATACAGTCATAGAGATATACAACACGTTAACAGACCCTAGGGTCCACCTCGTCCATGGCAACCAGATATCCTAGATTAATCTAGTCCCACTTGCTACCATTAGGTACATATCCCTCTAAACCCTTCCTTTTCATATACTCATCAAGAAGCCTTTTAAATGTTGTAGTTTTATCAGCCTCCGCCACTTCTTATGGCATTCAATCCATAAACACACCACTCAGTGTGCAAACGTTGCCCCTTCAATTCCTTTTAAAACTTTCCCCTCTCACCGATAACCCACGTCCTCTCGTTTTGGATTCTTCTACCCTGGGGAGAAGATCTTGATTGTTCACCCCATCCATGCACCTCATAATTTTATAAATATCGATAAGGTCACCACTCAGCCTCCAACACACCAAGGAAATATAAAACTGCTGATTCAAGAATAAATAAAGAACTGCCTGTTCAGTCTCTCCCCACAGCTCAAACACTCTACCCCCGGCAACATCCTTGTAACCCTTTTCTAAACCGTTTCAAGTTTTACAACATCTTTCATATAGCAAGGTGACACCAGAATTGAATACAGTATTCCAAAAGTGGCCTAACCTATGTTTTGTGCAGCCACATGACCTCCCAATCTATACACTCAATGCACTGACCAATCAAACACCTTCCTCACTGCCCTATGTACCTGTAATTCCACTTTGAAGGAGCTATGAACCTGCACTCCAAGGCCTCTTGGTTCGGCAACACTTCCCTGGAGCTTACCATTAAGTGTGCAAGTGCTGCCCTGATTTTCGCTCACAACTTGTAGCACCTCACATTTTTCAAGATTAATCTCCAGCTGCCACTCCCCAGCCCATTGGTCCTTTTGGTCAAGGTCCCATTGTAGTTTGAGGTCATAGGGTCACACAGTAATACAGTATGGACAAAGGCTCTTGAGCCCAAACTGGTTCATGCTGACCATGGTGCCCACTCAGTGAGTTCCAATTGCCCACATTTGGTCCATCTCCTGCTAAACTCTTCCCAACCATGTACCTATTCAAATATTTTATTAGATGTTGCTATTGTACCTGCCTCAACCACTTTCTCTGGCAGCCTATTCCACTTGTGCACCACTCTCTGCATGAAGAAGTTGCCCCTCAGGTTTGTCTTAAATCCTTGCCATCTCACCTGAAACCTATGTCCTCTACTTTTCAATTCCCCATCCCTGGGCAAAAAACACGATATGCATTTAGCCTATCTATGCCCCTCATGATTTTATACACCTCAATAAGGTCACAGCTCATTCCCCTATGTTCCAAGAAATAAAGTCCTATTTTGATCAAACTCTCCCTATAACTCAGGCCCACCAGTCCTGCGTAAATCTTCTTTGAACGCTTTCCAGTTGAACTATATCTTTTCTGTAACCGGGCGACCAAAACTGTACACAATACTCCAAGTGTGGTCTCACCACCGACTTATACAACTGTCATATAATGTCCCAAGTCCTATACTCAATGCCTCAATCAATGAAGGCTCACATGCCAAATGCCTTTTTCAGGACCTTATCCACCTGTGACGCCGCTTTCAACGAACTTCGTACTTGTACTCCTCAGTCCCTCTGTTTCACAACACTCCTCAGGACCTTACCATTCACTGTATAAGGCCTACTTTGGTTTGACTTTCCAAAGTGTAACACCTCACACTTATCTGTATTGAAGTGCATTTTCCAATCCTCAGCCCACTTCTCCATCCGATCAAGATCCATCTAATTTTTGATAACATTCCTCACTATCAATGATATCTTCGAATTTTGCATCATCTGCAAATTGACTAATCATGCCTTGTGCATTCACATCCGGAACATTTATGTTAATAACAAATAACAAAGGTCACAGCACTGACCCTTGTGGCACACCACAAGTCACAGGCCTCCAGTCCAAGAAACAACCTTCAACCATCACCCTCTGCTTCCGACCATCAAGCCAATTTTTAATCCAATTAGCTAGCTTTCCCTGGATCCCATGCAACCTAACGTTAGAACATAGAACAA